ACATATTACTTTTTCTAAAGATAACAATTCTGCTGAACCAGTGAACTCATTAAATTGATCCCAATTTTTTCAAGTTGTCATGGTAACACGTCGACAACGCACTAATCTCAGTTCACTATTTAACTTCACTTTGTATATCGCTCTTCTATATTTTTGAAAAAAAAGGTGAACTCACTGAACAGTGAACACGTGTGGTACATATATATTTTTTGGTTTAAAAAAAAAGGATTTGACACTCAATTGTTTGTGTGTTTTACACTTTTACTGCTTTCTCTGATAATAGAAGAGAACAATTGTTTGTGTGTTTTACTGCTTTCTCTGATAATAGAAGAGAACAAATAAAGTCAAATTATATATCGCTTTATATCAGTTTTTTCCAGGCTCTCGACATGACAGAGTTGCACAAGATCACTGCTTACTGTTAATATCAACTATACAAAATATTAATACAAGAAGTGCATGCTGAATGGGATCATACTGGCTGCCCGCTATATAACAGGCGCACTTGCTCTTTGGCGATCTTTGCCCGAATTTTTATCTTGTACCTACGGCCACGCTAGCTGCTATGTGACGACTAAACAGTGCATTTGTGGCACTAGCCCTTGATGTGTGAGTTCATAACACACTCGCGGAGCAGACTAACTTGCAAATTACACGTCGGATCGATTTTTTTATATCAGCTACATCAAAGCGTCGGGAGCTTCAGCATTGAAGCCTATCTAATACATTTTTCTCAGTCATGGCTCTTCTGTAATAGCATTTCATAGTGTATTGCTTGGAATATAAGGTGCGGCATATATGAGGAGCTAGCAGATCAAGTTCTTGAGGTTGCATCGTATAAGAGTGAGTACTCGGGATCGTATAAACTGGACACCTTTAAGTAGCGTTCAACTACTTCGATCTTCAATTGAATACGCCTTGTTCAGCACTGAATTGTTGCATTTAAATTGAACTGCAACGATATCATGTGCGAACTGCAATGCTGATGTTTTTGCGCTGCTGAAGTCAATCATGTTAAATACTTAGAACTTTCTGGACAATAGCATGCACAATACAGTTTGCTCATATCAAAACATATCTACGCGACGATGTTATTAATTTACGGAAAAGAGTATTATAAATATATACTTTCTACCTAATTATATAACCAGTTGTGAATATTAGTTGCCCACATAAGTTCCTGCGGCTGCGAAGAGAGAGCAAGGATGGTCAACGAAACTTGAATATTTTAAAATAGAATTAAACCTGAAAATTTGAAACTTGCCTTTGTAATTGAATCTATTTATTATTCAATCTTCACTCTTGAGGAAATTGACTTCAAAAAAAATACAGAATTGTTTCGGTATATTACGACAGTTCTATAGCAAAACTTCGCAATTATTCACTATGACATCCTGTCATGTGCAAATACATGAACTGGTTGCGAATCATCAATTCAATCGTGAATGCATGAAACACTTCAATTTAATCCCAAACACATACACCGCAAGTCGACACTCTTTCATGGACTCTGTTGAGTTTGTCCATCATTCGGTAGTTCGCAGAAGCTGAAGAAATGTGATACCCAAGATAACGATGACAGCAGCAGTGGAAAGGTGTACATGTACTGCTGGGATCAGGAACCTATGGGGAGGAGAGAATAAAAGCACAACGGTCAATGAGTCAGCGACAAAACTATTCATGACACCTCACGAAAAAATGGAGAAGCTTACGTAGGTGCAATCTTTTGACGGCTTGCACTAAAACCCGAGTAGCTCAATCTTGTGGATGCTTATCACAAACCTCGATTTAGCGTGGATGAGAATGTCGTTGGAAACGATATCTGATACTAGATTGGGATTTACACTTGTAGTGATGTCGCTGGAAGGCTGAAGCTAGTCTGCTCAAAAGCACACCGTTGGTTGGCTGCGCAAGCAAGAACGGGAAGAAGGAAATATCCGCGGAAAAATCTGCAGCGATATCATACAGATGTCGTTGTAAGATGAATACTCGTATAAATAGACCATCTTTTCGATAATTGGAAAATACATTATCTTTCAAATGAGTCAATACGAAGTACACTTATTCGCGATCACGATGCTTCAAAATATCTTGAGACCTGAGGGATGAGAGGCTTAGAGTGGCGGCCTGGCCGTGTCGGTGTGTGCAAAATTGTAAATATTCTGTGCTCAATTCTCTCATAGTATTTGAGAGAACAAAAATACCCATGTAAATATTTACGTATTTAAATATTGGTCGATGCTAACACACGTAAGAATGATAATCAACGTTCAGTTTATTGGTAGTGCCTCCGAGTTGACTAGTTGAATGCTCGGGCACCGTAGTGTGTAACTTTCTTTTTCTTCCTTAGCTGCTACTTCTCTCGTCTTAGTCAACTCCTTCAGATAGTCCCTAGACTGGCTCACCTCACGACTTCTCCTCGCATCCCTCGTTGTCGTCTGTCTCTCCTATCTGTCGTTAGCATGGCCAACTATCCAAGCCTAAGTGTCCTCTCTATAGAACACTCTCAACGCATACCTACGCAGAGGTCCACCAATATAACCCACCAAATAATGTATGTCTCCTGCAACTTCTGCTCTCCCTACCTGTCAATCTCTCCTTGCCCTCATCAGCTGTCAATCTCCGTGTTTTCATCATTGTCGGTTCGTTACTTCGAGTACCGAACTCCCAGTGCTATCGGACTTTCCATATTGTGCAGGTGGTTGCCATGAGCCAGGCGCCAGCTGGTCATAAATAGTGTCAATGTGTCATACTCATAC